ATGCATCAATAACTAATACAGACCCTACTTGCCTATAGAAGAGGCTGCTTCTATGCTGGCAACAAGTGGGGAGACAAGCAAACTTGGAAGGAAAAAAATTTTTTTTTGACAGTTATGATTTCTCACTCACTATGACTAGGGATTTTGTTCAATTACTACTTGAGTCACAGTACCTGTTTTGCAATACACTTTTTCCAACATACCAATATTCTGAAAATTATGAGCAACGGAACAGGTTTATTTTTTCATTTCCAATTGTAGAAAATTACTTTTTTAAAAAAAGAAAATTACTTTGATATTCGTGCAGCAGTAAAAATCACTGGGTGTTTAGGCTTCTTGGATGTTATGCCATAGTTGTCCCAGCACCCGGAGCGATAGATCCCCAAGCTAATCTCAGAAATGAGCACAAGGTCATGACTCCTGTCCTTCCTCAGAGAGTCTTTACTCCATAAACTACAATCTCCCGTTTCTGTTTAGAGTAAGAATAGCTCAGAGGCGCTCTCAGCTACAAAAAAAAGGTCCCTCCCGAATAATTATAGCCTTGACCCCTAAAATGCGGACTCTTAACAGTTCAAACACCTCCTTATTAAAGATGCAACAAGCCAAAGCTAGCCTTTTCCTCCTGGGAACTGTAGTTCTCCCCTCGACCTTCAATCACTGGCTGCGCGAAACCTATCACGAGCCCAACCGGCGACCCGAGCGGCAGCGGCCACCATTGGTCCCTGACTGGGGCAGCGCCGGGCTGATTGGATGACAGGTCCCCGAAGCCCTGCCGACCGTCCTGTGCCCGCCTCCCCGCCACCTTCTTTCCACACCCATCCCGCTTCAGCAACAACCCTCAAGTCATCCCTCTTGGGCAAACTCCCCAATTAACTGCTTCACGGGTCGGCCCAGGACTCTCGCGATGAATGCGGCCCTGAAACACGCCCTCTCTCCCGGGGCCTAGCCAGAGCGAAAGCCTCCCCCATTTTCCGCTGGCTGCCGGGAGTCAGCCTCACCACGCGCTCTCTCCCGGCGCCCCCGCGCTCACCTGGGCAGCGGCGGTCACACCCGATAACTGACAAGCCCGCAGCATTTCGGCCGGGGGGACGGCACCGCTGGTATAGGCGGGAGCTTCCGCGGCAGAGCTAGTAGGAGAGAGTGTGCGTGAGTGCGTGCCTGCGTCCGTGCTGTCTCCCCGCGCCGGTCGTACCGGAAGGGCAGCCAACGCCGCTGCGCACGCGCAGCCCCCTTTCTCGACCCCGCCCATGCCGCTCGGAGAGGGTGGGCCCTCCGTTGGCGGAAAAGGCGATTTCTCCTTCCGGGTCGCTCTCGGAGTTCCGGTGTGTACCCCCAAAAAGGGGTTAGTAGTTGAATTGGGAGGCGGCAGGGAGTGTGTAACTCGGCCTTTGATCAGTGCGGAAAGCGGAGGTTATTCTTCGAGGAGTTCAAGCAAGGGAGAAGTTCAGCCTCTGTCAGCTGGATATTTCGTAGAAAGCAGTTTGGCGAAAGTTACGTAAACAATGGTGGTGTCTTGGTTTGCTTGTTTCTTTTGACCGCCTTTCTTCAGGGAGTCGTCCCGATCACGGAAAGCTGGGTGAATGAACACTGGAGAGACCTTTGTGCGGAGTGTGTTGTTCACGTATCTAATAAATGGCAGAGCAGAGCTAGAAATCTAGATTCTTCGGGTTCCACCGCTTCTACTCCTTCTAGATTAAACCACACTGATTTTCCCACCACGTTTTCATTTTACAAAGATAATTTTGGCTGCAGTCTGTGGGATGGGTTGGAAGTTAGGGCGGTCAGTGCAGAACTGTTCAAAGTATTCCACTGAGTCTGTAACCAAGGTTTAGCATGTTATATGTCGAAAACAGTATTCAATATTATGAGTACTAATAATGATCTTATCACCATCACACCAAAGAAACTAAATAACGTGTATATTTATTGTGTTTGCAAAGTTTTTTCAGGTCTTAACTAGGTAATTTATTAGAGTATGGTGTTCCTAGAGTTATACATTTTTACAGTATGGTGGTATTACAGTATGATACTAATCCCACTTGTAAAATGCAGAAATGGATTTGAAAATTGACTAAAATCGAATACTTATGTTTGTATATGTTCACTGCTTTTCAGTGTACTTTAATAATTACATTACACTCTCTATTTCATATCACCACCCAACAGCCTCCAGAGCAGTCTCCCATTTTTTAAAAGTAATTTTAGCAATTAAATTACAGTCTCCCCACCCCACTCCTGACCACTGCTGCTACGCTGGGTGATGCCAGTGTAATGACTTTTCTAACATCTTGGCCATAAACCTCTCAATACCAATACCACAATTTCAATCTGCTCTAACCACGTGTGGCCGAGCCACATTTTGGGACTGAACATCGTTACCAACTTCTGCAGCTTCCAGATCTCAAACTCCAAAATTAATTTCTCTTGTTTCCTAATGTCCCATTTGACCAAATCCTTAATCTTCAACCTCCACATGCAATTTATGAATTTTTTTTTGCTTTAAAATGGACTCCTCTAAAGTAATACAACTTTAAATCACTCCTCTGTTAAAAAATGTGCAATAACTCCCATTGCCAATTCAAAGAATTTTTATGAAATGTCTCAGTACTTTTCCAGCACATGGGAATGTTTTTAAGGCTCAATTTGGCTACCTTACGTGAGAGAGAGATTAAAAAAGCAATGATTGGGGGAGCCTGGGTGGCTCAGTGGGTTAAGCCTCTGCCTTCAGTTCCGGTCGTGATCTCGGGGTCCTGGGATCGAGCCCCGCATCGGGCTCTCTGCATAGTGGGGAGACTGCTTCCTCCTTTCTCTCTGCCTGCTTCTCTGCCTACTTGTGATCTCTCAAAAAAAAAAAAAAAAAAAAAAAAGCAATGATTGATCGTGGTGGTCAGAGCTTATATACATACTTACAGAGCTTATACCCACTTCCATACCCTAAAACCCAGAACTAAAGGATAAAACATTCTCAGCTGGTTCTCAGGTGTGAACTGGGATTACTAGGAAGTCTGAGACCTTTTTGGAAGATCCATAAAAATCAAAACTACCTTCATAATATTAAGATATTATTTGCTGTTTTCACTCATTATCTCATAATTTTACAGTAGAGTTTTTCCAGAAGCTAGGTGACAAGTGATGTCACAACATTGAATGCATGAACAAATTTAATCCAACTTTTTATTAAACCAGACCTTAAAGAGATTTGCAAAAAAAAAAAAAAAGGTTAATAGAATAAAACTCTTCTCACTAATTTTTTTAATCTTGGAATAGTTATTTTTATGAGCATATTTTTATTATAAAAATAATTGTTTTAAAATCAATTAGTATGATAGGCAGAATAATTATTCCCAAACATATACACATATTCCTAATCCCTGGAACCTGTAAATGTTACTTTACATGACAAAGGAATGTCACAGATGTGATTAAATTAAGACTCTTGAGATGGGGAGATGATCCTGGATTATCTGCATAGGCCCAATGTCATGACAAGCGTCCTTATGAGTAAAAGGTGAGGACAGGAGGGTCTCAGTCAGAAAAGGATATGTGACAATGGAAGCAGAAGTAAGAGGGAGGTGACTACTGGCTTTTAAGGTGGGTGGAGGCACAAGCCAAGGAATGCCTGCAGCCTCTAGAAGCTAGAAAGGTCAAGGAAACAGATTCTCCCCTAGAGCCTCCAGAAGGTACCCTGGATATTTTGAAGATTTTATTTATTTATTTGACAGACAGAGATCACAAGTAGGCAGAGAGAGAGGGAAGCAGGCTCCCTGCTGAGCAGAGAGCCGGATATCCCAGGACCCCAGGATCATGACCTGAGCTGAAGGCAGAGGCTTTAACCCACTTGAGCCACCCAGGCGCCCCAACCCTGGATATTTTGATTTTAGTCTTGTGAAACCCATTTTAAACTTAAGACCTACAGAACTGTAAGGTAATTTGTGATGTGTTAAGCCACTATGTTTGGGGCAATTTATTACAGTAGCAGTTGGAAATATAATTAAAAACACTGGAGTCCTCAGTTTTTAAGTACCTAAACTGGTTCTAAGACCAAAAAAAGTTTGAGAAGCATTCCCATAAATAAATCCTGTATCTTTCTGACCTGGCTCCCTCTCTTTTCATCTTAGCTCTTCATGTTCTTACTGCCAAGAATGACCTTGCCCTTGTTAAAATCCTCCCCGTTCTTTAAGATTCATATATTCTACCACCTCCTACCTGATCATCTCAGTCAGAAAGCCTGTTCTCCTTAACTTTGAACTACTCCTGTGGAGTGTTTATCTGCCTTATATTTATGTTCTATGCTTGTTTCCTTTTTAAATGTGAACTCCCAGAGACCAGTCTTGATCCTTAGCCATTTCAATTAGTATATAGTGTCATTTATTATATATGCATGGAATAGCTTAGCCAACAAGGATGAGTGAGAGATTTGTTGTTTTCTGTTTGAACATTAGAAAAAGTTTATAATCACTAATTATCAAGAATAAAATAAGGAACATAGAATTATTTAGGAAGGATTGAGATGCTATTCTACCAAATGAAAATCAGTGTTAGTGATTAGAAAAAATGTTTGTGATAGCCTTAGGATATTTACATCATTTAATTATAGTTGTCATTCAATTTATAAAAAATTTTTAATAACATTGCTATGTCCCACTCACTTAGCCTATCCCCTACCAGCTTTGGAAGGAAAATAAGTTGTTTTCTCAAATTTAATAAAATGAGCGAAAAGAAATTGTGTTTCAAATTGTGTACTTTAAATAGATCTGTCAATCAAATGCTCATTAAAAATTCAAGAGCCTACTATATGCCAGACACTCTTCATAGGCACTTGTTTTGGAGCGGTGGAGAATAGCCTGGTATAGAGAAGACATTCAATAAAGGTTGCCTTGACCGTTTCTTTATTCTTTTTTTTTTTTTTTTTTTTTTTCCTCCTTCTTCGATTCCACCCAAATTTCTTTTTCTTAAATCCCCTTTGCCCTGGAACTTTTAGAACCAATCCGGCTGCCGTAGGGCGGGGCTACAAGATGGCGGTCCCCGTCTATGCTCGTGCAGTGAGGGCGGTATCAGGTCAGTGAAAAACGCGGTGTTCGATTTATCTCCTCACAGGAGGCGGGACTGGTGCAGGATGGAATAGGCGTTTAAGCGTAGAGGTTAACAGGGAAAAAAAAAAAAAAAAAGGCCAGAGGATTGTTCCGAATTTTATCTGGGACTGCCTGTGTTCGGCCGGTCGCCTCGGAGGTTCCGGACACTCTTGGGCCCTGGCGGACCTGGGTGTCCTCGGGTTTCCGCTTCCTTACCGGCTCCTGGCCGTTCCGCCTTACCTAGAAAACAGACTAAAAGGACTGGGGCAGAGAAGGTGTGCGGAAGGAGACAGAAAAGTCCCTGCTAACCTCATTTAGAGGCTAGAACTCGCCACTCATGGCATATGGCCTTGAAAAAGTAATTTCTCTGAACCTCAGATTCTACAGCTCTAAAATGAGGATGACACTGTCTACCTGAGGACTAAATGAGCTCATGCATGTAAAGTGCCCTGCATAGTGTCTGGCACACAGCAAGCTTGTACGTATGAGGTTCACACAATGTGCAGGAAATGTGGCGGGTTTTTTGCTCACTCAGTCCCCCGCAGAGAGGTAGTCAAGGATTTCTCGACCGAGAGAGATGACAGGAGTGAAGACAATTAAATTGTTGATTTCGCTCTAAGGACTTCTGCAAAAATATTATTTAAATATAAGATTATCGGTAAATTACATATACACAAACTAAATTAGGATAAAATTCTGTGTAAGAATAGAAATAAAGAAAAAAGCTACAATGTAAAATTTCTAACTGTTACGGAGGAAACATGTTTATGGGGGTATTTTTTTAATTGTGAAAATAACATATAAAGAAAAATGTACATAACATACATGAATGGTTTAACTCTAAAGAAAACACCTGTGTAACACTGAAGGCAGGACAGAGAACACTACCGGGAACTGCTTCTCCTAATCCAAATTCTCTCTTTCTGGGACGCCTGGGTGGCTCAGTTGGTTAAGCGGCTCCCTTTGGCTCAGGTCATGATCCCAGCGTTCTGGAATCGAGTCCAGTCTCGGGCTCCTTTCAAGCCTTCTTCTCCCTCTGCCTGCTACTCCCCCTGCCTGTGCTCTCACTCTCTCTTTCTGACAAATAAATACAATAAAAATCTTTAAAAATCCCTCTTTCTGCTAAATATAAACAGCAGCCTCATTTCATTGTTAACTTGTCTTTTTTTCTGTAATAGTTTTAACATCTATATAGGCATCTCTAAGTAATATGTTGTTTAGTTTTGCCTGTTTTTGTACTTTACATGAATGGAATCACACAGTATGTACTCTTGTGCCTTTTACTTTGTGAAATTAGTTCATTTTGGGTGTAGCTGTAGTGCTTTCTTGTTCCTATATAATAGTCTCTTATTCGATCACCCCACAGTTCTCCGTTTGGGGATTGCTGGGCATTTGAGTGTTTTCACTTTGGGGCAGTTAGGTCCAAAGCTGATATTCCTTGTGTCCTGGCATGAGTGCAAGAGTTTATCTACAGTGTGCTAGTGTGTATACTTATAAAACTGGCTGTGGAATTGCTGAATTAGAATATGTATATATATATTCAGCATTGCCTGATACTGTGAAAGTGATGTGCTTCTTTAAAGTCACCTCAGTGGCACCTGGGTGGCTCAGTCAGTCAAACATCAGACTCGATTTCAGCCCAGGACATGATCTCAGGGTCATGGGATTGAGCCCCGAGTGGGACTCCACACTCAGTGGGGAGTCTGCTTGAGATTTTCTCCCTTTCCCTCTCGAAGATAAATAAATGTTTTAAAAAAAGATAGGGGTGCCTGGGTGGCTCAGTCAGTTAAGCATCTGATTCTTGATTAGCTCAAGTCATGATCTTAGGGTTGTGGTATTGAGCCCTATAATTTTTCAGAATGCTTTTAGAGGGTAAGGGATCAAAACTTGAAGACCACTACTTTTGACAGTCATACTCACTTCCTTCCCCGATCCCCATTGTTTTGATTCCTGCCACACAGAGCTATTTGTAATTCCCCAAACATACTGTCCCATTTTTTGACTCTTCACTAGTACACTCCTTGTTCCCTCTTCCTCCTCTTAATCCTTCAGAACTCTGGTTTTGTTGTCACTCTCTTTGTTACAATATCTGTGTTCTCCATATGAGAATGTGTTCAGAGAAAGCCAGTGTGTATTAAAATGCCCGAACAGAGCAGAAGACTGAAAGAACAGTTCATTACTGCCCTTGATTTGTGTGCTACCCTTTTGTCAATGCATTTTGAGTTAGGCTGTGTTCAGCTTTTACAAGCTAAAACATAGGGCTGGTCCACCTGAGGGTATGGTGGATAAGGCCCTCAAGTTATTTTCCCAGAAACTGCTATCAAGCAAGATTCATCTTTCCTTCATTTTTTTCTAACCTCAGTGTATTTATCCTGGACTTTGTCTTATTAATTTTGATCCGTTTTACCAAGATCACTTTGAGTCCATATAGTCTTTGGATTTTGCTTTTATACAGATTTGACAAATATGCTGTATGCAGCTTCAGGACCTTCATAAAAATCAAGGAAAATATAATCAGGGAGCCAGGAAGAGACTTTGATCAGAACAGCAATCAACTAACTTGGGGCTAGTTTCTAGTCAGCTTGGAATTTACCTAACTATACTATTATCCTGCCCACATTTATTTCTTTAGAATATAAAGAAACCTTTTCACATGCCTTCCTAAAATCAGGATGCACTGTGTCTAGACATTCCCATGATTTCCCAGGCTAGTGACTACATCAAAAAATGGAATGAAGTTCTTTTTTTTTTTTTTTAAGATTTTATTTATTTATTTGACAGAGATCTCAAGTAGGCAGAGAGGCAGGCAGAGAGAGAGGAGGAAGTAGGCTCCCTGCCAAGCAGTGACACCCATGCGGGGCTCAATTCCAGGACCCTGGGATCATGACCTGAGCTGAAGGCAGAGGCTTTAACCCACTGAGCCACCCAGGCGCCCCAGAATGAAGTTCTTTTTAAGGAACAATCATTCCCAGGTGACAATATAGTTTTGTTTTGGTTTTTTTTTTTTTTTTTTATGCACTTCCTGTTTATCCATTCTCTCTTTTTTTTTCTTCCTATAAATGAGCCTGTAATTTACCCATTTATATGTTCTAGACTCTTATCTGCTCTTTTCCTTCAGGAGAGATTTCTAAGAATTTCTGAGAGTTGTTTTTTTGTTTTGTTTTAACCAAGAGACCAAGTTCTGAGGACCTTGTGAAACTGATACATTTTCTTGTCTACTGCCCTCCTCTTCAATTCACTTAATCTTCCAAAGATTATCTCTTAGTTTGTACTCATATCTACAAATATTTACAGTTCTTTGAAATGCAAGTTATTTATATCTGGAGACTTCAATGACTGGTAGTAGAGAATTTCACTTCCAAGCTCCCAGAGGGGCTCTCTCAACAGTCTCCTGAATCTTGGATTTAAACTCACTCATTAATGTTTATATTACCCATTCTAGTTTGAAAATTGTTACCTTTGACAGAGCATAAAAAAAATATGGTGGGATGCCTGGATGGCTCAGTCAGCTGAGCAGCTGCCTTTGGCTCAGGTCATGATCCTAGAGTGGAGTCCCTCCTCAGTGGGGAGTCGTCTTCTCCCTCTGACCCGCCCCCATCTTGTTCTCTCTCTCTCTCTCTCAAATAAAATCTTAAAAAAGAAAAAGCTGTGGGTGCCTCGGTGGCTCAGATGGTTAAGCATCTGCCTTCGGCTTGGGTCATGATCCCAGGGGTCTGGGATCGAGTCCCGCATCAGACTCCCTGCTCGGTGGGGAGCCTGCTACTCCCTCTCCCTTTACTGTTTCCCCTGCTTGTGCTCTTTACTCTCTCTCTCTCTCTCTCTCAAATAAATAAATAAAATCTTAAAAGAGAGAGAGAGAGAGAAAGCTAGAATTTGAAGCTTCAGCTCCTAAAACAAAACAAAAACAAAATATAGGGGTGCCTGGGTGGCTCATTTGGTTAAGCAACTGCCTTCAGCTCAGGTCATGATCCTGCAGTTCCGGGATCAAGTCCCATATCAGGCTCCCTGCTCCGTGGGGAGTCTGCTTCTCCCTCTGACCTTCTCCCCTCTCATGCTCTCTCTCACGCTCTCTCAAATAAATAAATAAAATTAAAAAACAAAATATGGGTTTTAAGGATTCATGCTTTCTCCTGTCATCTGTTAATATGCCATTTTTGCTAAGCATTTCTCTGCTCTTTACTATCTATTAGCATTCATTAAATGATTTCTCTGTGCCGAGTGTTCTTCCTAGCGCTTTTCATGTTTTCTCTCATTTAATTCTTATCACCTCCCCATGACTAACCCTATTTAAATTTGGGGAAACTGGGGCATAGAAGGGCTAAATAATTTGCCCATGGTCTCAGAGTTAGTGAGTAGACAGTCTGACTCAAACACCAGCACTCCAGTCCCACATTACACTGCCCCTCGTTTGTTACATGAAATCAGTGCAATGGACAATAAGGCAACAGTTCTAAGCCCTGGCTGAACTGCAGTCTCAGTGATGGAACTTTTAATTTTTTTTTGAAGCAACTATTGAGGTGTAATTTACATACCATAAAATTACCTGTTTTATGTGTACAGTTTGATGATTTTTAGTAAATCCAGTTTGGGGGCATTTCCATCATCCTGTGGTGCTTCTTCAGTGCACATTCTTGAGTCCCACCCAAGACTCAGAATCTGAGTCGAGGCAGTGCCCTGTGAGTGATTCTGCTTTGTAGCCCTGGACTCTTACTTTGGCGCTAATGCGAAGAATCGGTGAGGAGGGATGCCTTTGGTCTACGCACCTAGGTCCCCCCACCCCCCACCCCACGAGGTGCCTCTGAGCCGCACCCAGGCGTTGCCATACTGTCAGGTGAGCAGTGCTCAGCCTCTGGCAGGTCCAGTCCCCGCTCTGGGCGTGTATTTGTTTCAGCCCCCCCTTGCTTTTGTGGGTGTTGTTCATCCTATCTGGACTCTACCTTCTCCTCTCGTGGCCTGTTCATCTTCTAGAGGAGAGCTCAAGGACCTCTTTTGTTTTCTTTATGACTCCTCTTGCCACTCCGTTGCCTCTGCAGGGAATGGCCAAGCTTTCTCGTCTCTGCCTTGCTGTTCCACTATGTGCTAGGGAGCCCTGGCTCATCAGAGGGTAAGATCTGGCAGATGGGACTTACTGTTACAACTGTTTCGGTCCCTACTGTTGGAACACAGAGCTAGGATGCATCAGAGTGGATTGTGGTGATGGTCGCACAACTTTCTAAATTTATTAAAAAGCACTGAATTACACAAATGGGTAATTTTGTGGTGTGTAAGTTATACCTCAGTAAAGTTGGTAAAAAGCTCCATGGGGAGCCTGATACTCACCTAGTTTCGACACATTCGTTTTAAATATCTGGGTGTGTATGTTGGAGTATTGTATTAAATAAGTATGCTTCTCTCTTTACAGGAGTCTTACGGCCCCTGAACATTTTGGTGTCTTCAGCCTATCAAAACTATGTCAGGAATGCCTGTCTCAGTTCTGCACTGTCCGCCCGACATTTTCGTTCTCTTCCAATGCCAACTGTTTCCTCTGCTCCCGGACTTAGCACATGTGTCAGAAACCTGACATGTGGGCATACTCCAGCAATCCTCAACAGGTAGGGTATATTTCAGTAAACGGGATGCTTAGACACAAATGGTAAAATGTTCCTGCCTGCAAAGACATCTTAGAAGCAGATGGTACTCTCGGCCTACCTGCAGTTTATTATGTAGACTTTGCCTGCTGGGGTAGGAGAATATGATGGATATCCCCATATGCCTACGTGCCAGCAGCAGGGACTACCCTACAGAGCACACTTTCCATGTTCTAGGTATGGTTTCCTGCATGGAAGCTCTCAGCCACCGCGGAGGGTGAACGAGACGCTCAGCATGTAAGGCTGGTGTTCATTTCATCGACAGATACTTAGTTAAGGACTCCTGGGAGCCCAGTTCTTGGCAGAAAGGATACCGAGATAAACTGAAGTCCTCAAAGGCTTGATAACCTAGTGGGCAGATAAGAAATCAGGTGATTAAAATAGATAGGATAAATTCTCTCATAGGGATTGAGGGGCTGCTTGATGCAAGGCTTACAAGTTGGTGATTGTGGCTATTCTTACTTACGCTTAGTGTCATGGGTCATTGAAAGTAACAATGTATATTAAAGTCGGCTTTGTTCCAGCAGAATTCCACTTATTTCAAAGTATGGAAATGGCCTTTATCCTCTAATGAGTCTTATCGCTGAGTTAACATTTTTTTTTTTTTTTTACTATATTTTAGAGTGGCCCCCTTGCTTCCAAATGTCCTGAAGCCACCAGTCAGAACGGTTACGTACTTCAGCTCCCGGAAGGGGAAAAGAAAGACTGTGAAAGCTGTCATCTATAGGTTTCTTCGACTTCATTCCGGCTTGTGGGTGAGGAGGAAGGTGAGTCTTCACACTGTCATTTGATTGAAAAAGCAGTGGGAGCGCCTATTCTTTGACGTCTCTTCCTCCCATTTGCCAATAGCTCTTACAGTGCTGTGCTTAAGTACCAGTTTGGCAGGCATCCCCAGTGTAAATGAATTCGTAAAACACGGTGTCACTCACAGTGGTAAATCCCCTCACTGCAGGACGTGTTCATCTCAGGTCTTTTACATGCTGGCCTAGCTGACGATCACAGGAAGCCACGTGACAGCCCCCACGTGTGCCCGCCTGTGGCGAGGCACTCTCTAAGCCTAGAGTGTTGCAGCAGCAGAGTTGCCTTCAGCAGGGACTTTGTGGCGTGGCTTAGATTGGGGGCTGATGGGCTCTTCCGCCTACTTTGGATTGGATTCTCTTGCCTCTTCCAGTCAGCGAACGGGGAGAAGAATTAGGCACAAACAAGTCAGCTGCAAGAGATTGGGAGGGAGCAGGGGACAACAGTCGAAAAGACTGCTGTCCCGAGTAACTCCTCAGTCTCCTCAGTCTCGCTTTTATTAGATAGAAACAATAGTCCACAGAAGAGTCGATGAAGGTCAAACGTTAGTCCTATGCCTTGTAGATAAACAAGGAGGGCAAAACATGTCTGTACAAGTAGTATAAAGTTTATAGTTGAACAAGCACATTCAAAGGACTTATCTAAGTAGCCACAGGTGCTCTGGGAGGGGGGCGGGGGAAGGGGAGATAAAGGAAAAATGAAGCAGGCAGTGTTCCACCCTGAGCGAGCAGGGCATCCCCAGCTGCTCAGCTTCAAGGCCGTATATCGTCCTCTCCCCCAGAGGCCTGTTGCCAGTATATGTTTTTCTTAAGGCTATATCTAAATGTGCTTAGTAACTAGTAAAATTTCCCAGGGGTTGTATTTTAAGTAATACATTGTTCTGAGGGGCAGTTGCATTCTCTAGGTGGTTTAGTCTTTTTTTTTTTTTTTAAAGATTTTATTTATTTGACAGAGAGATCACAAGTAGGCAGAGAGGCAGGCAGAGGGTGGTGGGGGGAGCAGGCTCCCCGCTGAGCAGAGAACCCGATGTGGGGCTCGATCCCAGGACTCTTGAGATCATGACCTGGGCCGAAGGCAGGGGCTTAACCCACTGAGCCACCCAGGCGCCCCTAGGTGGTTTAGTCTTTATGACAGGGTATTAATCCCATGTACATTTCTTTAACTTCATGATTTTCTGTCGGTGTATGTGATTGGGGTCCATATTGGACAGAACCCGAACACTTACTTTGGCCTGGGATCACAGCCTCTAAGGGGCCCTCTGACAAATGATTACTGCTCTGTCCTCTCCCACAGCACATCGTGAGCGTGTGTCTGGGCTTTTCCACTCCCATCTTTTATTCTCGGAAACAGAGTATCTGATTATTAGAAAGCAGCTGAAGACTAGAGTTTTGCAAAACCACCTTTGAGATTTGATAACTATTCAAATTCTAATTCCCTTTTACTACTCGGAAGCTAAATGATATTTAAAGATTAAAATTTGTTTCCCCATAAAAATAAAACACTTAATTGGTAGGACTTTCACTAGTTGAAAGACTGAAAGGATTATCTCCTATCTTATAAACAATCCTAAATTTAAGGTAAATATGTTGACTGGAACTCTTAGCTCATTCCTCCTTCGGAACAATACCGTGGTAGTTCATTTCCTACACTAATAAACAGAAGCTCATGTAATCCCTAAGTAGCTGAACTAAGTCATTCACTGAATAGTTCTGAATTTTGTGAATTTTGGACCGTTGAAAAATTTCTTCCCCCTTGTTATCATACTGATTATTTCCAGGTCTTCATCTGGACTTAGATAAAATAAGCTGGGCGGGTTTTTTGTTTTTATTTTTTTTGCCTTCCTATCTCCATCCCTTATTGGGCCCTGAAATCCTCATGTTATTAAAAAGGACCTAATAAGATTCTCCAGTCATAATGCCTAGTCCCCACTCAGGACCCAAAAGGTATTCTATATACAGAATGGCCTGCTTCATCAAAATGTAATATTAAGAGGAAAACAAAAAAGCTGGGTGGGTTAATTTATATTAATGTATAAAAACTGAAAATACTTCCTGCAGCACAGTTTTATTCCTTCCCATTTCTTTTCTTTTTTTTTTTTTTTAAGATTTTATTTATTTATTTGACATACAGAGAGCACAAGTAGGCAGAGAGGCAGGCAGAGAGAGAGGAGGAAGCAGGCTCCCTGCTGAGCAGAGAGCCTCATGTGGGTCTCAATCCCAGGACCCCGGGATCACGACCTGAGCCGAAGGCAGAGGCTTTAACCCACTGAGCCACCCAGGCACCCCCCTCCTATTTCTGAACCTAGAGAGTGTCTAAAAAGCTTCAAGCATTTCACAGTGGTTGCATTCCACAGAATAATGATCAGAGGTCACTAGTAGTAATAGGCAGGACAGCAACTAACCCTAACCCTAATCCTAACCTGTAAGTCAGAGATCCACAGAAACCCAGATTGGCTTGCAAGGTAGAAAATTATTCCACAGATATGGGGATTTGGGTTTGAATCTTTCAATTTAAATTATAAGCAGGGAGTAGAAAAAAATCTAATCCCTAGCATTTTAAAACCAGAACTCTTTTTTTTTTTTAAGATTTTATTTATTTATTTGACAGAGATCACAAGTAGGCAGAGAGGCAGGCAGAGAGAGAGGGGGAGGCAGGCTCCCTGCTGGGCAGAGAGCCCAGTTCGGGGCTCCATCCCAGGACTCTGGGATCATGACCTGAGCCGAAGGCAGAGGCTTTAACCAACACTGAGCAACCCAGGCACCCCAAAACCAGAACTCTTAAAGAACGTTTCCTTATTTCTGAGGGTAACTGTACCCAGGTTGCTGGTCAGAGTGATGACACCAAGACATGTCAGAAACCCAAGATGCCTTCTCAGCCCAGGGCTGTGGTTTTTTTGCTCAGTTAGTGTAGTGCCCTAGGGCGCCCTTGGCATGAAATGACACAGGGCTCTTAGCAATAGTTTGAGTTCTAGTCTCTCCTCCCCTATAACTTTCTGTGTGGTTTTTGCCACCTATTAACCTGGGTGGCACCTAAGATCTCTTCTAGTCTAAACAGACTATGGTTATAGATTTTATAGTCTATCTAATTTTTCTTCAGAAATTAATTTTTTTCTTCCTTTTTAATTTAAAAATTAATTCTTCAAAATTAATAATGCTTGAATGGTGTATATGGTGGTTCTGGGTTAAACAGATGAGTTATCCATTTCTTCACCACTCCTTTGTATTCATTATTCCTTAATAAAGTACTTAGTACAGAAGTTGGCCCTCAGTGGAACAGAAGAAATGAAGCAGTATACTTGAGAACTGGGTTTTGTCAGCGTTTGTAATACTTAGTCCCCTTAAATGAACATGAACGTTACCAACTAGCCAGGAATGCCCTTCTTCATCCTCCACATTTGGAAAAATCAGTGGTTAAGAACTCTTACTAGTTCTGTGACCTTGGCCTGCTACCATTGACTTCTTTAATCGATGGTTATTTCTCTTTAATTTGTAAAATGAGAATAATAGAATAATAATAATAATAATAATAAAAGTTGTAAAGTTAGTGATTGTAATTATTTATCATTGCTCTGTACTTTACCTACCACAAAGAGTCATTTGGCTTTATTTTCTGTGGTTCTAATTGAAATAATCTTTTATCAAAGTATTAAATTATTAATGTCTTTTTCAAACTGTATGTGCTTTCTGTATCTACCCCTCACTGAGAATCATATCTTTCTGAAAAACATACCAGCCCCTGTAAGTCTCATCTTTGTTCCCACTGAGCCTATAAAGCATGAATAGTGAAGATACCTTTTGTTTCCTATATAACATCGTGTTTTGAATGTCTTTATAATATCATCTAACAGGCTGGTTATAAGAAAAAATTATGGAAAAAGACGGCTGCAAGAAAAAGGCGCTTGAGGGAATTTGTGTTCTGCAATAAAACCCAGAGTAAGCTTTTAGATAAAATGACAACGGCTTTCTGGAAGAGGCGAAACTGGTATGCTGACGATCCTTACCAGAAGTATCATGATCGGACAAACCTGAAGGTGTAGATGGGAAGTTTTATGACTGAATATGTATATACTGAATATGTATCTTCACATATATGATGACTTTGCAAAATGGAATAAGTTCAAAACTTGATGTAAATTGTGCCAATTGGTATGGAAACACACAGCTCCAACATTAAACTTATTAAAGTTTTAATACTTAATGGATCAAACATTTTCAAATTTGTTCAAGGAAATAGAAGTTTAAAATTGTTGATTATTTTTAACAAATGGTAATGGCTTAACTGGTTCCAGTGAGGCTTAGTTAGGGCAGGCATCAGAAGACCATAAAGCTAACATGTGAGCTCCAGCACTGTGACATCATTCTAAGTATATATGCCTGGGAACTCAGGAATCACCTCACCAACCCCACTCCACCCCCCCAACCCACATCTAACCCCCAGGCCTTAGGAAGAACAGAAATTTCACAGTGTTCCCAAATCCAGTGCACCTCCAAGGGCCTCAGCAGCAGAAGATGCTAGATTTGTAGGCTTGGGGTCTGCCATGTATGCAACTCAGTTTCTGCCCGAATAATAACTCTGGCTTGCACCTTTCAGGTTGTTTTCTGCATCCTAACCCCCAACCTATCTCCAAGCTCTAAATGCCAAGAAGCTAACTGGGCCAGCCTCTTTACTTAAGACCAGTCTCATCAGGAGTCACTGACCCGTGTCAGGAGCCCACCCTGGCTCACTTGGGTTGTGTTAGGCAGGTTCACATGGAGCAAAAAATAGTTACGTGAGCAGTTTTGTTTAGAGGTGAGCATGGGGTGGCAACACACAGAACAGATCTAGTATTCTAGGTTTAGTGTGTTCATAACAATTCTCAGTTTATTGGAACTGGATTTTTATAGAGAGACAAGTAAATGACATAGCTTTAAAGTATGCCCATTCACGAAACAGAAGAGGCTTTAGAGGTGCAGACACTTTTTATCCAAGTGTTGAAAGGCACTGATTTTTCCTTTTTTTTAAAGATTTTATTTATTTATTTAATTGAGAGCTAGAGCATGCAAGCAAGGAGAAGGAGTAGAGGGAGAGGGACAAGCAGACTCCATGCTGAGCACAGGACCTGATGCCGTGCTCGGTCTTGACCCTGAGATCATAACCTTAGTCTAAATCAAGAGTAGGACACTTAACCGACTATACCACCCAGGCTCTCCAAGGCACTGTATATCCTAAAGCTAGTTTATCCCCCTGAGATTTCATATTTTAACCGTGAGGATAAACATTTTCCAAAGACACTTTGTAGAACTAAGGGAAAATAGTTATTTTGGAAATGATGCAAGAGCTAAGCATTGTTCATTTGAAGAGGGTTGGATGAGAGGCTTTGAGGAAAATTCTGCTCACTGTGTGGTTAAAGCCCAGGGCATTGGTCCTCAGCTATCCCACCAGAGTCATCTGGGAACCATTTTCAAACAACATGTGAGCGCTTGGCCTGGTTGAAAAACCATTACAGATCTTAACCAACTTACGATGGGGCTACATCCCAATAAATCTATTCTAAGATGAAAATACCGTTAAGTTGAAAGTGCATTTAACACACTTAAACTACCAAACATCATGGCTTAGCCTAACTTACCTTAGATGTGCTCAGAACACTTAAGTTGGCCTACAGTTGGGCAAAATCACATAACACAAAGCCTATCTTTTTTTTTTTTTTTAAGATTTTATTTATTTACTTGACAGAGATCACAAGTAGGCAGAGAGGCAGGCAGGGAGAGAAGGGGAAGCAGGCTTCCTGCTGAGCAGAGAGCCCGAGATCATGACCCGAGCCAAAGGCAGAGGCAACCCACTGAGCCACCCAGGCGCCCCACAAAGCCTATCTCGTAATAAAGTGTTGACTATCTCATGTTTATTGAGTACTGTACTGAAAGTGAAAAACAGAAAAAAGGTGTGTGTGCAGAATATTCGACTGTTAATCTGTCAGTTGTCTACCTTTGTGATTACATGGCTGACTGGGAGTCTCAGCTCATTGCCACCAACCAGCATCACAAGAGAGTGTCCTACTGCCTATTGCTAGCCCAGGAAAAGATCAAAATCTGAATTTAAAGTATGGTTTCTACCAAATGTGTCGCTTTCACACCATCGTAAAGTTGAAAAACCTAAGTCAAACCATCATAAGTCAGGGACTGTCTGTATTAAGTAGAATTATGCCTCAATTACTACTTTAAATCCTTTAATATAGTAGTTGATGATGATAAGATGAAGTTTCTCTATTGTTAATAGAATAAGGTTAAAGATAACCAAATTGAAATTCTATGGCAAGTCAGGCTAGGGTTATTAGAGGAATTTCTTGAAACCAGGGCATGTTCCTTAGAAGAAAAAGGGTGATGATAGAAGGTTCTAAAATTGAAGGCCTCCTATATGTCTGTTTATGTGACCATTTAATAAAGAACAGACTGGATTTGAGATGGGGTAGAACTCTGAAGCATGCAGTGGCATTCTGTTGATTGGTTTTCGTTTCCTCATAACTTCTTTTTTTAAGATTTATTTATTTATTTATTTGACAGACAGAGATCACAGGTAGGCAGAGAGACAGGCAGAGAGAGAGAGGGGGAAGCAGGCTCCCCACTGAGCAGAGAGCCCAATGCAGGGCTCAATCCCAGGACCCTGGGATCATGACCTGAGCCGAAGGCAGAGGCTTTAACCCACTGAGCCACCCACGTGCCCCAATTTCCTCATAACTTCTGAGGTGGCAGACTCCAACCACTCACAAGGTTTCCACATCATTTTTTTTTTTAAGAATTTATTTATTTATCTGAGAGAGCTCTCGTACAAGTGGGAGGGGCAGAGGGAACGGGACAAGCAGACTCCGTGCTGAGTGCAGAGCCTGACACCGGGCTCAATCTCACACGATCCTGACATCAGGACCTGACCTGAAATCAAGAGTCCGATGCTTAACTGACTGAGCCATCCAGGCGCCCCCACATCATCTCTTAGCCGGCTGGCCCCTGCCTCTCTAGCTCACCCCTGGTAGCAGGATGGAACTGATACCTGAAGAGGTTGAGGAGGCCACTTTCCCACTGCCTCCATGAGTTCTCTAGTGCAGTCATGGACAAAAAAGATCTCTGTTGTAGGGGCCTCAGAGCACCTTGGTTTTTCCTGTAGACCAGAGGTAGGAGAGGTAGAGATAAGGACTGGCAACCAGGCCTCCGCATCCAGACACGGACTGACAGGCATATGATTTCGGAGAGGATTTTCATATATATAATTTTTGTTTTATGGATAGCAGGGCTCATCATCAACACTGATTTTATAGTTTGACAACCAAACATCTTTCATTAAAGAGTCTACCTAAATGACATTGAAATTTATGTAATAATATAACTTATTGAAGACCAACTATGTCCCAGCATAGGGACGGGTATTTATACCCACAAAATGGCTAATCCTCATACCAGCCTTACGGGGAAGATACTATTTTTCCTTTGAGTTTATCATTATTATTATTATTATTATTTTTAGTAATCTCTACACCCAACATGGAGCTCAAACCCATGACTCCAAGATTAAGAGTCTCATACTCTTCCAATTGAGCCAGCCAGGTGCCCAGGGGAGATTGTTTTTTGGTTTTTTTTTTTAAGATTTTATTTATTTGACAGACAGAAATCACAAGTAGGCAGAAAGACAGGCAGAGAGAGAGGAGGAAGCAGGCTCCCTGCTGAGCAGAGAGCCCCATGCGGGACTCGATCCCAGGACCCTGAGATCATGACCTGAGCCTAAGGCAGAGGTTTAACCCACTGAGCCACCCAGGCGCCCCCAGGGGAGATTATTTTATCTGGGGTTTTGATTTGAGGAAACCGTAGCTTATACAAGGTTAAATAAATTACCCAAAATATAGCTAGTAAGTCATAGAACCTAGGTCTAACATCTTGGAATCTGGAGCATTTCCTGGAGTCTTTCAACATAAAAATTCATATCTAAATCAACAAGTGACTATAATCTAGCATTTTACATATGCAATACTTTTTCCTGACACCATACCAAGTCAGCCTTTGAATCCTAACTTTGCTTTTCTGTTGTCAGCTCTTAATCTGGTTAATCTCAGTTCTGTTGCCATTGGACTTGGCTCAATGAATACATGAATGGGTTTTCAGCTTTTCCATCTCTTCATCTTCCTTTCAGCTTTCTGAACGTGCTTCTTTACCTTCTGCTGTTTTATTTTAGAAGACTATATAGGCAAAGAAAATGAGTGTTTCATTTTAAGTGTCCAAGTCTTCGTGAGCACCCAGTGAAGCTTATGTGTACCTGTTCACATATGCATATTTTTAAGTAAATTCTGCACCCAGCCTGGGGCAAACTCAGAACCCTGAGATCAAGAAGAGTTGCATGCTCTCCTGATGAAGCCAGCCAGGCCCTCAGCCCATTCATATTTTAAAGGCAAGGGCTGCAGTGGTCAAAGGGCATCCACACCACCCAGTGCACCTCTGCACGTACCACCCTCTTGACCTCACACATACTCTCTCACTTTCAGGTAAGGGAACAGGTACCATGAAGGGAAACGACAGACCAGATTTTCTGTTTGCAGAATGAAAACTGCCTACCAGATGAACTGCTCTGTTTTTATAGCTACACAGTTTCCACTTGTGGCTTTTAAAACATAAAACATACTACCGGGGTTACATTTATGTGATCAACTGGTTTTCAAAACCGTTTGAATTTTCTTCCCCAGCAACAATTCTAGGCAGTAGGCCTGGAGCGAAGGCACCGGAGCCGGTTAGTGCCTGAGCACTCAGCTTCTCATCCTTGCTACCCTCCACAATTTTTTTTTTAAGTGTTTTCTCTTTCCTCATAAGCTCAACATTACAAAGATGTTTTTTAAAAGAAAAATGTTAAGACTTTATTCAAGATATAGATCAGGCATTATAACAAAACAGCAGAACTTCAACCTTTGGAATACTGTAATTTTACACCCCTTTGATGCACAGTCCAGTATACTATTTTATTACAGATCATTCTACAGGGACTACAGGAGTAAACTAGGGAGAATGCACAAGGACCATCCGGAAGGTCAGCTCTCTGAGCGTGCACCGTTGGAGAATGAAGCACGTCCTTTGCAGGTCAAACACTGTGCAAGGGGAGGACTAGGGAGATACTCCGCTGTGATCATGGTGGACGAGCACTGTTACCACAAACACACAGACAGTTCACTGGAGAGAACGTACACTTCAGAGGCCAGTGGAGTGAGCAAGCTAATCACACAAAGCCAGGAGGGATTATGACAAAGCTCTCCGGGGTCTAAGTACACCGCCCCGTCTCACCTCTTCAGAAACAGAACAGGTGCCCAACGGCAAAGAACTAAAAGTTATTACGTGAAAATTACAGACTTTTGAGCTAGCATTTTGTAAACGGCCTGTGTCTGTAAATCAGCAAATTAAAGGTGTTCAGTTATGCCCTCTAGACAGAGCAGCACACCACTGCATGTACACTCGGAGGCATTCACATTTCCTGTCAGTCCATACACGAATATGCAGCTCGTTGGGGGAGTAAACACATTTTGCCAGAAATAGGACAGCGGCTCTCGTTTGTACAGTGAGTGTTTTTAAGAGAGAAACCAACTCCCTCATCAACAGTTGAAGGAAAAATAGTTCCATTTACATTAAGACAGCAGTTTGGATACCTTTCTATTTTCTAAATCTTGAATGAGAAGTAATACAGCGTGTCTGAGAGTAGAGTGCTTCAAACTTGTTTTTGGCATAGTTGAGTGCAAACTTGGTAGCTTGTCCTTGTTAAAACTTTACATTGTAAAATGGTGAAAATACAGTTTGTTCACGAAGGATCTCTGCTGCTAAAGGCATTTATTGTTTTGGCAAAAAAAAATTTTTTTTTTGCTAAAAAGCTGCTTAAGTGAAGCTGTTTCTGATAATTCTGGGTACTCCCAACTAACAGGTAAATACATTTAAAGCATATATATTTTTCTTCTGAAACTATTCAGTGAGCCTGAAGAAACAGATGTTCTGTCTTCCCTAAGGGGTTTAGGTATTGGTGGGTGTGGGGCACAGACAATGAAAAGCCCTCTGAACCAGGAATTTGTTTATAGGTTTGTTTTCCTAAAACCTGTTGTAAATTACAGAGTCACCTTCAGGGACATTGTGGGAAGAAGGGATTTAAATATGCATATCTGGCAACAACCAACTTCAGGTAAAACCGTTTCTCAGGTGGCTAAGATCCAGCCAGTGTGTCATCAGCCAAGACTACTGATGTGTGTTCGCCGAGCTCAGGTCTGAACAGTCTTGAACCAGGTCTGCTTATAGCTGGTTGACAGTAAGTCCTATGTGGTACATTACACTAATTCTCTAGTCTTCAGAGCATATCTATGAACAAACACAATCCAAGTATTATAAGTGACTGCGTTGTGACCACTGCATGCATTACACTGAAAGAAAACACCAACTCTAAGCACAAATATACAAGTCCTACGTTTAGGCTCAGCTCTCCCAGAGGGGAGGAGCTACCTTGGGCCAAAATGCTACCTAAACCAGATTCTTCTTTTCAGATAAAGTTCTCAGTCTAAGTAGAGAGTCCCCTCAGCAGTGCTCTACTCTACTAAGCGATCCTGGCCTGCATAAGACGTCCAGTAAGACACGGAGTGCCCATGAGTGCACGACTTCTCTCACTCACATTCTGCACAAGCCAGGAAGGGAACAGAAGGGTGCCACCCAGGGCGCTGAGCAGCAAGTCAGTCCGTAAAGATCTCAAGCTCTGAAACCTTTCTAGAACCCAGCATTTTGACAGGTGTCTCAGGTGTATTTGATGGCATATCTGAAACATAGCTTTAGGTTTGGTTTGGTTTGGGTTGGGTTGACTGGTTGGCTTTTGCTTAGTGTTCTCTTAATCAAGATGTTCAGGTTACAGGCTCCTCTACCTGGGGAAATAAGTCACAGAACCGGTCATGATGAAGGAGAAATAGTCATTCTTCCAGCACTTTTGGAACACTCAAAACGATTCTCCTCAACAGGCCTGTGAGTTCACATCCCCAGAAAGTTTCACCAAGGGTGAGCCACCTGCCTAAAGCTTTGGTAAATCCCTTGAAATGATTCAGAAGCTCTTAATCCAGAATCCAGGGGGAGACAAGCGTCTTGTGATTTCTCTTATTCTGGGCTGCTCCCCTGGCCTCATTGCACTCATCTCTGTCATTACAATATTGTCTCTTCATGCTAAGCATCTCTGGCGTTTTGGCTAAACATCTGTCTGAAGAAGATGGACCGTCGTCCTGCTGGAAAAGGGATGTTCTACTGGAGTTGTGTTTAGAAGCTTCAGAAGCACATCTGAGACATTCTCTAGAATCAAAATAATTTTTACACATCTTGTAGTTTTCTTACATATTAGAACCTCTGGCAGCCCTTGCGAGTCCATCTGATTAAGCCAAAACCGATAAATATGTACATCGTAGTCCAAAGTATTAGTACCAAGAACAAAAAAAGTTTAAAAAAATCGCTCTGTTTGCATTTACAGGACTAAAAACGAAGTATGCGACAAATAAATTACAAATGTACATCTTGGCAGTGTGAGGGTGATCTCTTATATTTCTAAAAACACACTGCTGACAATCCAATTGTGGAAAATTACTAACCTCAGAAGACTTAAAGGTCACCCCCCTCACACTACCTTTCCCTTTAGCCTCTCCCCAGCAACATAAAGAAAAGGAAAATTAAAGTCTTTCAAGTGGAAGAGGGGAGAGAGAAAAGGCTGTGTCTGTGAGGCTGCATACTCAAAGCACGCCAGCTTGCGGATTTCTACGTTATTAGTGACTAGCTCTTTAAGGCAGAGAAGAAACATTCTGTGGGTCCGGTGCTGTTGGCTCATCTCACTCACGTGGTTTCAGTGGCTGAGGATGAGGTACTTTTCTTCCTAAAGCGGGATCGAAGAACTCTAGGCGGTGCCTGCCAGAGGAAACAGAAAAAGGCATCCCTGAATGTGGCGTTAAGCGTGGAAATGTTGGAGGCGAGCACCTGTGTGGGTTTGTGTTGAGACACACGCACACGTGTGTGAGGCAGCTGGCTGGGAATCTGGGAACCGGGTCACATCCCAAGCATCCCATGCTGAGCCAGTTGAGAAGGCAGCCGTCTCCCTCCCGCTTCACCCTCTCCTAAGTCCCTGGGTCTCCCTGGTTGCACAGAAGGATGGCACACACCCTTCTTGTTTCTGCCTTGGGAGAAAAGTGATCCTAGCAAGTGACTCAGCACAGAGAAATGCTTCCCCATCTCTTCCCTTGTCTTTGTTCTTTCCTTGAGAAACAAGCCTCATGTTTCCAGGTACGTGCCTAAAATTCCCATTGCCAAGTTCCCAGTCCTCCTTCTGAATGTGAAATACAAAAAGCACGGCAAGCCCCATAGCAAAGGGAAACACTGTCCTCCACCTCATCTCCCATACAAATGGCTATCAAGGGGGGGAGCCCTCCTTCGATGGAACACATAGATCACAGAAGTTACTTCTACAATGAAAGAAAAGGAAATTTTTGTCTCGGCAGAGCCCTCAAGGCCAGGGGCAGGAAGGGGCAGAGGGCACTAACACAACTGACCCAAGCTACCCCCAACCCCTGTCCCTGTCCACTTCTCTCCAGTCATTTCTTTTTCTATGGCATCCTCTACACCTCTATTCCTTCGGACCTGAAGCCCCTCCCTCCCTTCTCTGTCTTGCTATTTATAGTCCTCTTTAGGACCCAGTTCAAAAGTCCCTCCTGAGCCCATCTCCCCACAGCCCAGACACACAGATGCGGGGTCACTTTCTTTGTTCTCCTAGTGTTCTGCACAAGAGAGGACATGAGAGGACTCTGCCCTGTCTCCCCCCTCCTCACTGAGAACTTTCCAGGGGCATACCCACCTCCATTTCCCAGAAAGTAGCTCAGTGCCCAGAAGGCACACAGAAGGGAGGGAGGGAGGGAGAAAGACAACCAAGGGGGTGGGGGGGGGCGGAGATAGAAAGCTCTGGCCTTCCACCTCCTGAGTCCTCAGGACACCTTTTTGACTCGGAAATGTTTACCAGCTGCCTCTAGGCACAGAGTAAAAGAAGAATCAGAGAAAACTAACTAGTAGTTAGTTAGCTGTCTCAGGCTGAAGTAAACAGTAAAGCAGCTCGTGCAGCTTTAACAAAACAAAACCCAAATGACATAAACCCTCAGACCCTATGGCGTTTTGGACACCTTCCTTGGGAGGGCTGAGCCCCTCTCCCCGTCACAGGGTGGCCCAGGCTCTGACAGACTGCCCCAACAGAGTCCAAAACCAGAACGTCTTTTACCAAAACCTCCAACTTCAAAACTGACCCTGCGTGCCCCACCCTGGAAAGGACTCTGATGAACTCAGGTTCGCCCAGTGGTAACAACCACAGTCCTATCTGAAAGGGGTCCATTGGCCAAGGTGCTCAGGTAGGGGAACATTTCAGTGCATTCCCTCATCTAAGTCTCACGGGGGTCCCTACACTGAGGACAGGGGGCCTCCCAACTTGCCTCAGATGAACGCTCAGGCCACAGTATTCAGCAGATGGGGCCCAGGAGAGGAGACGAGAGGGGCAGAGAAGAAGACTCAGGAGTCCCCAGTTCTGCCAGCCAGCCCCGTACCTGGGCCCAAGGCTGGCGACTCCCTATCCACATCACAAAGCAAGGCCTCTGAGGCTCTAGGCTTGGCCCTCCGACTGCCAACACTCCACCCACATCCACAGCAATCGGGTACATTTGGTTTGGGTCTTTTTAGAGGGCTGTGCCGTTCCAATAAAATTTTCTCAGGATTTGCTTTGTACCAGGCACTATTGCTGTGTCTTGGAGATACAGTGATGAACAGCTTCCGTTAAAAAACGTGTCAAATAACATATTTTCTTCCCCCTAAAACACAAATTTGGTTTGCTTTTCATTCACATATCATCTTAGGTTAGTGCTTGCAAATTTTTAAGTTTTATTTTAGGTACTATATCACCTCTCCAATATCTAAATAAAATGAGCAGAGTCTTTTTTTTGCCCTTAGGGAAGGATCTGGATGCTACCTAGCATTCTGTCCTTTTTGTCTGATGGAGAGAGAGGCCCTCAAGAGATGCTGGGGTCCCAAGAGCTGCCACTCTCAGGACCCCATATCTCCAGGGCAAAGCCCTTGTGCAAACACATGCTCCAGCCCGCAGCCCCAGACCCCTTGTACCTCCAAGGGGATTTCCGTCTTTCGAAGAGCCTTATACTTGTACATGAAATCCAGCAGATCTTCCTCCTCCTCGTCCGAAAATGCCAGTGGGTTTTGGACCTGGTGGGGGTCCCAAGCCTTCACACCACCCTCATTCACATCTCCCTCAACCACTTAATGTCCATTTACAATCTACACAAAGGAGACAAAGTACAGCAGGGAGGGATCAGTGTAGAAAGGAGCAAGGAAGGGCAGGCAAGGTCAAGGTTAGGTACACCACACCACAAGCCTGTTAGGACAGCCAAGGTCCCCGGTGTGTGAAGCAGGAGCCCGCATCCTCTGGGCCTCCCTGCAGGGCAGTCCTGGGCTATGAGCGTGCCGCTGGAAACTGGCAGGCACCATGCACAGGAAGAAGCAGAAGTTCCAGAACCTACTGGATAAGCTGCCAAGGAATGTGGGGGAATTGCTGCCCTGACAGAAGGAGAACACTGCCTTAGCTGAGAAGTGTCAAACCCTGGTGCTGAGACCCGTGATGCCACACAAAAGGGTACTCAGGGAAAGAATGTCCTCTAGAATGGATAAATGCCGTGATGGTAGAGGGGCCAGGCGGCTTCCTCTAGTCCATGGACAAGCTGTGTTGACAGTGCATTATACTTGCATGTTCAGCTCCGAGCCTTTTTTGAGACAGGATGTCAAATGCCAGGAAGCCTTCAGGGAGAACCTTAAGCAAAGTTACATAGATTGTTTTCCTTTCAAAGGCCAAGTCCCAGAGAAGCAAAGATGCCCAGTGGAAAGAAAATCGAGGAATACTCTTCCCCCCACAAGACAGCAAGATTCCTGTTTTAGTCTACCTTGATTAAATCCACAAGTAAAATTCCAGAATTAATTCAGGTCATTGAATGCGTAGTGTTTTTTTTAAATGTTCAATTCTTAAACATATTCCATGTCATCTGGCCAGGTGGTCAGCACATACCCAGCTTATCTGACACTCAAAGAGATAGCTTTCTATGATCTATATATTGTTTTTACTTAGAAACACAGACTGTAGACGTAGGGGGCCCTCAGATCATCTGGTCAACCACCCCATGGCCTGCGGAAAGAAAATGGAACTCCTTCTGGAACGCCCTGCTACTGTTCCTAAAAACACAGTGAGTCAGATGTGTTCTCCCCATCAACAGGGGACTCACTAGACTATAACACAACACCCAACTTAACCAGGTGTGGGTTAAGCAAAAATGACAACAGACCCTAACCTTGACCGGGTTTTCCAGGCACTGCTGTTGGACTCCCCAACAGCCATCAGGAGGCAGCACGAGAGCTAGCTGTCTTAACTGTCAGTCGCAAAGTAGACCTGTAGGCTGGGAATGGCCTGCTCTGACAGCGAGCTCCTTGGTAAGGGCCAAGATTTCGATCATTAATCTTCCTTTGAGTTTTTTGCTCTGTGCATCCCCCAACCCCGGGGATGGGGTGGGTAGGTTTAGGTTATCCTCTGGTTCCACCCTAGGTGGAATCCGGAAGTCATCTGGGAGCCTCATCTCATCTCAAGTCAGACCTTGACACCATCACAGAGAAATTCCTTCTGGACACAGATAGCCCTTGTCTGATGGGAGGGAAAAGAAACAGGCCTTCCTAGAGCACGAAGTCCTTGGACTAGGGCAGAAACCACAGACGCAGCCTGGCCAGCTCAGCCCCAGTGCAAAACTGCATCCTGGGAGTGGGCTTGGGGACTGGTTTGAATCCGTGCCTCTGTTCCCTCCAAATCTGGGTCCAGGGCTTTCCCTGTGCTGATGCTATCCACTCCTTAATAGTCTGATCACTTCCAGAGACGAACTCTGGGCGGGGAGAGTGACTCTCATGCAAGTTCATGGCCACAGCCACCACGTCCAAACCTCAGGTGATGGCGGCCAAGACCCTGAGCCAGCAGAGCCAGCAGAGGGACTGTCCTATTGCCCAAGGCTGAGTAGCCTAGAGGGAAGTGCAGGAGCCCCTGCTGTCTGCCCCAGTCTCACGACATTCCATATTAGCAAATGTGTCAGCCGGACTAAGAAGGCTGGGGAGCGGCCCCACCTCCTCTCTCTGTGGGGCAGGCAGGGAGGCCAGAGTAGATGCATCTGCACTGAGCCAGAGGCCCTTCTCCCCGCCCCCCCACCCCCGCTCCCATAGTGCCAAACAACCCCCAGGTTAGCGAACACATCCCACACAGCACACATTAGCAGGTGCCATTAATGGAAGTCAGCAAATGTGTTGCAGAAGAGCACACCCATCTGGAACACTTACATCCGCGTCCCCGACAGCCACCGAGGAGAGAGAAAACAAGATTCTGTCAGGGAAAAGGTCTTCAGGGATGAAACTCACACACGTGTGAGCATGCATGCCTGTGGACAGGTGCACGCCCGGACACACACTCCCTCCCTTCTCACTCTCTAAACCTCGGACAGCTCCTGCTGCGGGAGGAAACACGCAGCCCGGGCCACACTCCAGGCCAATGCAATTCTCTCTCTCTTTGAAAAGGGTGAATAAAAGACATGACTTTGCTTTTTAAAATAATGTCCCATGCACTTGATTTTTTTTTTTTAAGAAAAAAGTATGTCTCTATGACTAATTCTGAGCGGTAATACAGACTTGAGTTTTATATTACATCGAGGCAGGTAGAGAGAAGAGGGAGGAGAAGGAGCAGCCAGGCAGGAAGGAGAGGAAAAAATAATAAAAATAAGGAGAGGAAGGAGGAGACCTGTGCCAGAAACAGCAGGAAATCGACTGACAGGGGCAGAAATGGAGCCGAAGTGGGGAGAGAATGTTCTACTGGGGTCTGAGATGCACAGAGGAAAATCATCTCAAGGGACCAGGAGGGGCCCTCTGACCAGAGTGTCTGTGATCCCCTGAAATCCTCTCCCACAGCGTCACTGGCCGGAGCTAGCCTCCACCTCCCCCAACACCATCTGCTGACTCTTCCCACCCAGTACCCTTCACTTGCAGAGATGGCCACACTTTATGGAGGAGGGGACAGAGACCTGCACAACTCAGGGACTTTCCCACCAGCACAGAGGGCCTGGTGTAGACCAACCTGTTTCCTTGCGAGCAGACCCTGGGGAGACTTGGAGGTGTGGGGGAGAATTCTGGGGCACTGGGTGTTAAAGGGCTCGAGAAAGGGAGGGCTGCGGCAAAGTCCCAGATCATAGCTCTGAGCAGAGTCACCCCAGCCCGAGGCCCCACCCAGCCTGGCCCACTATGCAGTCCCCCACACCCCCATTCCCGTAGGTCCTGGGGAGAGCAAACTTGACTAAATCCCTACAGTCGACTGAAATTCTATTTCAATGCACTGGAAATGCAGCCTCTGATTTGGAAGCCATCAGCGGTCACGAAAAGGTGAGGACATCCCAGGCAACAGCACAAAGCAGTCCCATGAGGAAGGAATGGAGAAGGCAGCTATCTTCTCCCCAGTCCCCCAAGGAGTAATATGCCAGAATTAGAGGCTTTCAGAATGGCTCACGGAATTTATGAACTCAAAACTGGTGAGTGGTTAGAAATAACCACAGTTGCCTGGGGTTGCTGGGACCTCAAGATCGCCATGAACCAGTATGTCCACTAGGTCCAAGCACTAGCCTCTAGCACTGCAATGCAATTTCCCTTCATAAAACTGAGATATAACTGACATATAACATGTTAGGTTTAGGTGTACAATATAATCATTTGTGATATATATATATATATATGCATATATATATGCATGTGTGTGTATATACATATATACGTATGTGTCTGTTTCTGATGCAGACTGGGTGGCCTCTGAGGCATGCAGAGCTGGTCAGAGTTAGACCCCTGGGTAGGACACCGAACTCTTTTGACTGTCATGACGTTCGCACTAGGTTTATGGTCTCCAAAACCCCCAGGTTTTACACGGACTTTCAAAAGCTTTAGAGAAATCTTACAAATGAAGAACTGAAGGGAAAACAGGACACTTCCTAAAACCAGCTCACGCCCTCTGTTCTCACCACTATGGGAGGCATGGCCATGCCTTAGCCGCCCCAGCACTGGGAGCACAGGCAGTAGGGAGGACGGTGCTTGCCGCCTCCTCCCCTCACGTCAGCTAGATGCTGTAGGCCCAGTGGTCTTTTGCCTTGGAGCCAAAGGCAGCTCCTCCATGGGGGACACCCTCCATGTGTACACCCTCCCCATGTACAAGGGGAGCTGAGCTGGTCTAGCACCATGGCCAGTCCCTCACGTGTCTACTCAGGGTCAGGGAGACACCAGGAGCAGGTCAGGAGAGAACACGTCCAACCACGGGGCGGCCACGGCTGCATCAAGCCATCACTTGCTCACAGGAAAGGCAGGAGCACGAGTTCCTGTCCAGGACTGGGGAACCCTGTTTTCCTCCCTGCTCCTGGAGGTTTCCCGGCTGCTCTGGGCTGAAATACAAAGCCTTTTCACGGACATTTTCACAACCACGCAGTGAGATGGGGAGGCAGGATCTTTATGTCTATTTTACCAAGGGGAAGTCGAGGCTCAGCGTGGTTAGGTGGTTCACGCATGGTTACACAGCTAGTAAGCGTCAAAGCAGGGCCAGGGCTCCCTTGGCTGCACCTGGACCGAGACCCCTGGAGCTACGGGGATCTGTCACTTCCAAGGACCAGGGTAAGTTCCTGTGTCCTCATCACAGAGCACCAGGAAATACAGCCCTGCGGAGGTCTCAGAAGATCTCTACACATTCTTTGATACACCTCCCTTCAAGAGGTGGAGATTAATTCCCCTCCCCTTGAGTGGGGGCTGGACCTAATGACTCTCTCCCAACAAACAAAAGAAGGCAGAGGTGGTGGTGTGTGACTTCAAAGACTAGGTCCTAAAACCTACTGCAACCTCCTGAGTGTCCTTTCTCTACCGGATCACTCACTCCAGGTGAAGCCAGCTGCTATGTTGTAAGGATGCTCAGGCAGCCCCAGAGAGACCCATGTGGTAAGGACCTGAGCCTGCAGCTGGGAGCCACAAGAGAGCCATCTTAGATGCAGATCCTCAAAGCTCAGTCAAGCCTTCCGATGACCACAGCACCTGCCAGTATCCTGACTACAACTCTTCATAGACCCTGACCCGGAACCCCCCAGTTCAGCTGCTCCTGAATTCCGAGCCTGCACACACTGTAAGATAACACAGGTTTGTTATTTCAGGGAGTTAACCTCCTGAATTCCCCACAGACTGTGCAGCTGGAAGGGAGCCCCAGGGTCAGGCGCCAGCTTCTGGTTAGAACCTCCACCGGAGGCGAGAGCCCAGCACGCTGCACGGAGGCTGGCTGCTTACTCACCTTTCCGGGTCCTGCAGGTGGAGCAGCAGGTACACACTGTGGGGATGGGGGGCATCATCAGTGATATCCCGCACTCGACAGGAACCAGCCCCAGGCAAGCGGGGAGGCCCCAGTGGGTTCAATATAGGGGTCCCAGGACTGTGGGTCTCTGTAGAGACACCAAGGTTGGGGGAGGAGATCATCCCAGATTCTGCTTCTTCTCAGGGGCTAAAAAATACCCGTGCCTGGCCCACAGAGGTCTGTCCTTAAATCCTCCAAAAAATAATTGCCACTGCACCTGCCCCCACATCCCTGCTCTGGATGCCTTCCAGTTCAGAATGGCCTCCAGGAAACCTTCTCAGACTGACCTCTGGCTCTCCGGAGTGCTTAGGGTCAGTCACTTGGCTGTTGCTTTGCAAACTCCACTGGTCTCGGTGCCCATCTGGGCCTTGATATACAGTAGGTGCTTACTAAATACATGCTGAGTGTCTCCAAAATCATGGAAGGCAAGGATCATTCTTTCAACACCCTCTGGCACCCTTCCTGGGGTTCAATGCCAAGCTTTCAATAAATGGTGTCTAACAAAATTCTGTAGAGAGGGCAATATGTTCCTGGAAAGTCTGTATTATTATTTCACACCAGGGATATGTATTTTTATTTTACATACACTGTTCCACAATATCTCACTCTGTTTTGTCCTTTTTTCACTAGGCATCGTGTTTTTGAGATCCTCCTGGATGAACGTTGAGACCACTGCCTCCCACAGCTGCGCACATCTCCATGGGGTCCAGCCACCGCCTCTTACCTGTCCGCTGTTAGGCTGCCTTCAACAGCTGTCCAGGCTTCGCAAATTCTCCTGTTTGCTCTCCTCCCAACCCTAAGACATAGGCTGAATAGGGATTACGGTACCCTTTTTCCAGAGGAGAGCACTCGAGGGAACTGTGCTCGTCTTCCATGCCCAGGTCTTATTCTGTAGTAGTGACTGCCTGGGGTATCATTCCAAGAAAGGGTCGGGGGCCCAATGCGAACAATGTGGAAAGTGCCTAAGGATGTCTGCCTTGCTCACACTATGTCTGCTGCAGGCCCACGGTCGCCCTGCCGGAATGGGAGCCCAGACAACAGCCCCACCCGACCATGCCCAGTGTCCAAGGCCCACGAGGCCAGGAGGGAGGAAAACCAGCCCTTTGTAGCTGGGCCTCCTCTGCCAGACTTCCTTCCAGGCACCTCGATCCCCAACTGCTCCGGGGCCTCTGATCTGGGTGCTTTTGCGGCATGCCCAGGCCCCAGGTCATCTTTCACCTGTCTCTCTTCCTGAGAGGACTTTTATTTTAGGCCCCAGGACAGCTGGAGCAAGTGCCACATGGTCCCTGCCCTTCCTGCTGGGTCAGCACCTCCCTCCTCTGCCCCCTGGAATCACAGGTGCTGTGGCCGAGGGGAGCAGCAGGGAGAGCAGGCGGCATCCTGTGGTAGCATCTCAGGTTCTCTGCTTCTCCGGGAGCTCCGAGGGCTCAGCCTGAGTCCCGGCATGCCACAGAGTGCGTCAGAGCTAATGGGAGGCGGCAGGACCAGCACCGAGACAGAGCATCCCAAACCCGTGTCTATCGAGTGCTGGTCTGGGAAAACAGTGGAAGCCAGGCACATGCTTCCCATTGCCTTCTGACCTTACCAGACTTCTCCCTTTCCCACGTTCTGAGGCTGCCCTGAATCATCCACCAAAGAGCAGTCTAGGCAGGACGCCTCGATCTGGTCCTGGGTGGCCTTGGCACCGTACATGACCTCTCTGAACATACTTCCTCTACTTGGTTCACTTTATAATGACAACATAGAATCTTAGAGGGCGAGGGATTATGGGGCCGCTGAGGCCCACCTGCTGGCCAAAGCAGGAAGACCTCCTTAGAGCCTCAGTACATGACCATCCAGCTTTGGTTTGGCTCCTTCCAATTTTCAGGGACCTCTCAAGGCAGCTCATTTGTCTCCTGGACACTTTCCCATTAGAAAGCGTTTTCATGGGTGGGTTAGATAACAACAGAAACAATAGCAGCTACTACCTAAAATGCCAGGCATGATCCTAAGCACTCTTGCACGGATTATCTTGTTTGAATCCTCAAGACACCCCTACAAATGGGTATGGTCATCCCGTGTGTACAGATAGGGAACCTGAGCCCAGGTCATACAGGTAGTAAGCAGCTGCCCCCTTGGGACTTTATCAACTTTATCCCATTGGTTCTTGCTCTGTCCTCTGAGCCTCCCAGAACTGGGGCCCATTTTTCTTCCAAATAACAGTTCACATTGAGGTTCTGTAGCCCATGAGCTTACTGAAGGTGGAGGTGACCCCTAATTCCAGTTTCTAGCCCTATTTCTGAGACAATGCCCAGTAGGTCAGCAGCTGGAGATGCTCAAGGACATCTAGATGGTGGAGGGGTGAGCATCTGGAGGGCACTGGGCCCAGGAGTCAGGAGACCCCGGAGAACGCCAGTCAGTGGGTTACTCTGGATACCGTTCCCTTCCCTGGGCCCCTGTCTCTTCTTCAGTAAAATCCGAAGGTCAGACTGAACCATCCTGAGGTCCCTGCCTGCCTGGCCTTCTGGGATTTCGTTCTGAACTCTCCTGGGGGAGGGTTCACTTAGGAGATAACGCCCGACCCAAGATGATCCTCACCTCTATGGCCAAGCTTCAACCTTCCCAACACCGCCGGAGTTAAACCATCTTCCTCCAAGAAAAACAGTCTTCACACCCGGGGCCAGGGTAAAGTGGACTATTCCTCAGAAGGGAGGAAACTGATGGACACGGGGCTCTGAGCTGTTCCCCTCTCCCTGGCAGGGCACGTGAGTCTTTATTCCTAGGGCAGCCACAGGGCCCCTTTGTTCCCAAACCTGTCCATGATCCCCAAAGTCAGGCGGGGTCCCTGAGGCTTGGGCTGCACCTCACAGCACAGGGTCAGGGCCCCGCTCTGTGTTCAAGAGCAGGGCTGCTACCAGCACATGTCACAGACAGGCTCCAAAAGGGTGGTCCAATTCCCATCTGCAAGGCTGGATTTCCCACCAAGGGTGAGGAGTCGAGCTGGCAATCCAGGACTGGCCCCTGTACCCTCTTCACCATTAACCCGGCCATGCTCAGCCCCCGAGAGCCAAGGGCCCTGGAAGCTCTCCAAGGAATGGTTTGGAAGATGTGAGTCCTGGCCCAGCACCCTACCCTCTCATAAACCCCCAAACTACGCCCCCTCATAAGCCTGAAACCCACTAATGGGTCAGACACCCGTGGGTCCCAAATTTGGCTGTACCTCAACACCATCACATATGTGAGTCTCGTCCCAGACTCACTGACCCCCTCCGGGCATGGGCGCAGGGCTCTGCATGTTTAACGGGGCCCCAAGGTCAATGCTAATACAAGCATCCTGAGACACTGGGGATACAGGTGGGGTTTCCCTAAAGCCATGGCCTCCGCAGGAATCAGACCTCGGAGCTAGTGTGGCCCTTGGCACATCGTGGCTGAGGGTGTGCGTGGTGAATGGGGGCTCAGGGCTGGGAGGAGATGGTGGAGTGAGGGAGTACAGGAGACATTCAGGCAGGGAAAAGGGACCACAGGAGCTGTAAGCCCTGGAAGAGAAATTCAGGTGCAGGTAAGCCCTCATGGGAGTGTGGGGTCAGAGAGGAAAAGAGGGAAGAAAGCTGCCTTGGCCGAGGGCCAGCTGTGCCCATGGCTTCCAGTCTTGGTTCAGGCACTATTCCCCAACCATCCCCAAACCCTCAGATCATCAGATGGAGCAGGCAAGACACTTTGGTGCAGGTGGTCTAATCCTTTCCCCTGATCAGAGTCCCCAGGCCAGCCTCCTATGCTGGCCTGAGTGGTGCTCTGCCTCTCAGCCGGCCTGGAATGATCTGATGGACATCTGTATGGATGGCAATGCCAGGTTATATGCCACGTGGTGTGGACTAGGCTGCTGGCAACAAAAGCAAGACCTATGAACTGGAAAGGGGGAAGAGGGAAATGACACCTACCTGAGCTGCTAGCACTCTCAGAAGCGCTCCTGGACATCTTGGGCTGGCCGTGTTTGCCGGTGGCTCGCCCGGACCCTGGTGTGGGCGGGCTGGAGGGAGCAGGGGCACCGTCACCCCTGATGGTGGTGAGGTCCTGCATGCTGAAGCTGCGAAGTCTCTCTGATAAGGCACCCTGCCCCTGGAGACAACACAGAAAGGGGCCCAGGTCAGAGGCCTGCCCCACACAGCACAGGCTGCGGGGCAGGGGGCAGGCAGACACCACACAGGGGGCTTCTGGCAGTCAGCCAGGTGGAACTCAAGAGCTGGAAGGACTCTGCAGAGGGCCCGGGGCTGGGTGTACTTGCTGGAAGCACCGAGAGGGTCAAGGTCTAGAATGTTCCAGGGCCTTCTGTGGGTCCCAGCAATTGTTCCTCTGGCTCCAGGCTCCTTCCTCTCCTCTAGACGCCCACATCACAGGGTGAGCCAGAGCCAGAGACAGACTCACTCCGGGCTGAGGAAAGGACGGCTGCCTGCCGTTGCTGCTTCTCTGGCTTTAACATGAATAAAAATCCCTACGTAGCCACATTTTGCTCAGTTCCCAGGACACAAGAATCTGGTCAGAAAGAGCAAAACCTAATATTCTGTGTGCTTGGGCCTTCCTCTTTTCCAAGGAAATAAAATTCAGCCAGTGTTTTTTTTTTAAATGTTTGACAACAGCGATTTCTCTTATCTGTTCATGTTACTGTTTATGAGGCGCATTTCCTTCTACTCTAGCATCTGAGCTTCATAAAATACGCAAAAGGTAATGAATCAGGAAGGGGGAAAATGATATTTAAAAAAAAAAGCAAGCCCTGCTGACTATAACCATTTCATATTCTGAGAGAGTCACAGAATTCATCTCAGGAGAAAATTGTTCTTTTGTTTAGGAAAGGAAGATCAATCCATTATACTTATGAAAGGGAAGGTCCTTGCTGTCTGGATGAGAGAATCTGTGTCAGAATGAAAAGGATCACAGTGAAGGCTCAGGGAGAGAGATATTGCCCCAGGGGAGCCTCAGGGGCTGGAGAGGGAGCTTGTGTTTGGGGGAGAAGGACCTGAGAGGGAGGCCAGGGTCTGGTAGGAGACTGGGGTTGTTGAGAATGGGGTTGGGATTTGAAGAGAAGGAGACGGGCCAGTAACCACTAGGCAAATGGATGAAGTTGGGCGTCGTCAGAAATACTGGAGGGCCTGTAGACTTCCCACAGAGGCAAGGGACAGCAGGGGGTGGGGGAGGACATATTCTACTTGGATAAGGAAGGAAAGAGTGGTTCTAGAGGGCTGGAGGCCTTGCGGACAATAAGGCACAACAGATGGAACAGAACCAACAAATAAGCACTAAATCAGTGGGAACAGTTAACGAGAAGGTTCTGGTTTGGGGGCGGGATGGATGAAACAAACAGGGACTACAACGGCTTAGTGGAATGCTTTCAACATGGCAGAGGGTTTGGAGGACTTTTTTCATTTCAGTTGAGGAGAATAAAGAAAAAAAAAAAAAGGCAATGAAAACAGCCAGCAAAGCAGAGCAGTCCATACAAGTGACTAGTCAAAGAGCCAGTTAGAAAAAGGAGCAAATGCAGAATGAGTTCGTTAGAGTGAAGGGGGGAAACAAAAGGAGCTTGCAGACAGGTCTAGAAGAAATGTCAGAGTAAAACAACGTGCATGAAAATATGAAAAAGACCAGTTCTCAACCTACCAAAGATATAAAAACGTCTCTAGGTAACTAACAATAAAATAGAAAACTATTTTAATAATCAAATAAAATTAGAACTGTATATCCAGGCAAAGGGGAGTCTGATGTTAGAAAGAGATGGAAATTCCCCTGTTAGCCTCAGATACCACTCTGTATAATGGCGGCCAAGAGGTCAAGGGCTCACCTTCTAGACATGAACAACTGGGTGGTCTGCGCCATGAAAACCAGGTGGGACTAGCTGCCCAGTATAATCCCCTCCAAGAGCTATCAGCCAAAAATCCATGATTATTTCACCTGGAAGCATTTTAGGTGACATCCAGAACTCAGAAGAAATGAGAGGACTGAAGAACAAAAATTGATTCTGAAAAGAAGGGGGGAAATATTGCTATGGACAATGCCATAATTCAGTGTTAGTTTCATGCCCAGGAAGCCCATTCACTGGCTCACTTTCAGTCTTCCTCCATTCAGTTACTCTTGTCCAACAAGAAACAATTTATCAAGGACGTTCTCTGGGCAAGATGCTGTGCTAGGTGTTATTAGGAAATACCAACAATACAGCTCGATTTTGGACGAAATTTAAAAAGACAAATGTACAAATAACCACACAGAGCTGCCGGACCAGAAGATACAGAAATCGAGGATGAAGAGCAAGCGTTCTAGAGTCAGACCTAGAGTCAAATTACAGTCCTATCACGGATTGCTGGGTGACCTTAATCTCTCCGCACCTCAATATTCTCCTCCACCAAGGAGCATCCACATGGCAGGATATGGGGAGGGTTACATGAGATTATGCCCATACAATATCCATTACAAAGCCCAATGCCAAGTAAGTGTTCAAAAAATGCCAGTTATGATGATGGTGATGACGACGGTGTTGATGATGATACTGCCTCCTGTAACACACAAATTGCTGTTGGAATAAAAAAATGAAAAGACTACACCTGACCAAAAGGACACAGGGGGCTTCATGACCCCAAGCCCAAATAAATGGCCAGGGACGAACTCCATCAATGTGTCTGCCAGCTCTTGCAAATGCTCAGCAACCTATCTGAGAGCAGGCAGAGCAGGCACCATACATGGCCTCTTCGGCAAAGCAGTAGATTCCACTCCCAGAATCCAGCCAACCTAGCTCCAATATCACTAGCATCATGAAGACTGGAAATGGCAGAGGTTAGCAAAGAAAAGGGGTAATAATAGCTCTGTATCAACATAGTCCTGACTCAGGCAAAATCAGAGCGGCATGGATTCAAGGATCTCGAAAACAAATCAGCCTTTATCTGTCAAATCAATCTGAGATGGTTAGAATTGATATGGCTCTCTCATTTGTAAACCTCTCAGCCCTGCCCAGACTCCTCTCCAAACCTCATTCCCATTCATTTTCCACAAACCCTAATCCACCCTGCCACTTGGGCTCTGCTCTGGAGAACCTCCATTTTATTATTCTGGGAACAGCCAAGAGTTGTTCACTGGTATTCTGCAAAATTGGGCTCCCTATTTTGGGAAAATTAAGTTGGATCCCCTAAGTTTGTTAAAGCTTAATAACCAGGGGCGCCTGGGTGGCTCAGTTGGTTGAGTGATTGCCTTCGATTCAGGTCATGATCCTGGAGTTCCAGGATCGAGCCCCACATTGGGCTCCCTTGCTCAGCGGGGGTGGGGTGGGGTGGGGGATGGCATCGTCTGCTTCTCCCTCTGCTGTTCCCCCTCTCATGCTCCCTCTCTCTCTCTCTCTCTCTCATTCTCTCTCTCAAAAAATAAAATCTTTTTAAAAAAAGGCTTAATACCATATTTTCCATAATTCAATGAGCCATATTACTATATTAAAGCCTCTGAGAAGTCCTACAGTGTTTTAGGTTAACTCACTGTATCTCAAATGAATTTGCCCACAGTGGGGTATACTGTTAGTTGGCCATCCAAAAATCATCCCCCACCCCATTCTTGACATGGTGAAAAAATACCCAGATTCCCCAATCTCCCTCGTAATGATGGATGGCTATGTGATCCAATTCTGCCCAATGGAAGGAGAAATCTGCTAAGGAATTTCTGGGAGAGGAACTTTCTCTTGCTAAGAGAAGAAAGGCCCGACCCTGCTCCCTGTTTTCTGCCTCTGAGCCTGGTGGAGGGGCCATTTTGTGAATAAGAGACTCACAGAAACATTCATCCAGAGCCTCAACATCACTCCCTCACTAGAATAATGACAGCCCTCTCTTACACCCAGACTTCTTGTAAATGATTTTCATCAATTTCAAGACGTATATTCTTTTTTCATCACTGATACAGGGGTGTGTCTTACAATTATTGTTGCCTTGACATCACTGTCATTTCCTACATAGGAATGCACGTGGTTGTCATTTCCCAAGGCATGGACTGGACACCCGAACTGAACTGAGTGCCCAACTCACAAACCATCAAGAACTACCCAAAGAAGAAATATGGGTTCCAGTTGTCTGAAGCACATTCCACGGAGACCTCTGCTAAGATCAAGACAGTGGCAGCATCCAACCTGGCAGAATGGGTAGCAGCAGCGCGGATAAAAGTCCCAGAGACAAGAGCTCTGAATCCCCAGTGCTCTGGAAGGCAGAGAGTGATATGGCGTGGTCGTAAATGGATACAGAGGAGCTCAGGGGAAAAGTGATTCAGAGGAGTCAGACTCAGAAAGTGAAAAAGTGAGGTTAGGAAGACCACAACCAATTGATCGTGCTTATACGTTCCTTTTAATGTGTGTACAAAAGTGACGCACGAAGATTCAATGTGCAAACAAGTCTAAGTCCTTTGGATAAGTAGAAGTAAAAAGCTTTCTGTCCTAATTTAATTGGCGACATGTTCTTCCTTATAAGATAACAATGTATCTTAGAAACCCAGCATTTTAAGCTCAATGCAATATGGCTGCCAGTCTCCACAAAGTTTTCTCTGACCAGCTCAAGCTCCCTGACTGGGCGCTCAGGGCAGTCTGGGATTCTCTGTAGCACCTCACACAATTAAAGTACTGCTATTGTTGGTGGGTTTGTCTTGTCCTCCAGACTGTTTTATTTACTAGTACAGCCTTGGTGTCTGTCACAGTGATACACATTAGGGGTCAAGGAGCTGAATGAAGGAACATGCAGCCGTTTACCAAGCAATCCCCTCGGTAAGGGGCAGCAACAGGAAATCCCCGTCTCCACCCAGTGCATGGAGTCAAGGGGTCATGGTCCCGCCCCTGAAGGAGCCCCCTGTGGGCAGAGACTCTAGCTCTGTCCTCAAGGAGTATAGGAGAAATGCTGGAGTGCTGGAGGGTCCAAAGGTCAAAGAGGCCAAGCTCCCCACAGGAGACTTCACATGAGCTGGCCTTAGAGGACATGCGTGGGTGAAGATGTGGGCCAAGTGATAGAAGTAGATTTCTTAGTCAGCCACCACTCCGAGCTGCCACTTCATTCCGTGCCAGAGGAGATGCTAAGGACACAAGGGTATCACCTTCACACTGGGTTAGTGCCCAA